AATTGCCATTATAACATTATAATTACACAGAGGACCACTCATTGGCTCAATCTGCTTCTTAATAGGTTTCACTTTTTTATTCATATTAAGACATTATCAAATCATTATAATGTCATTACAAATCACATTTTGTCAAAGTTTACCTCTTCATTTGTATTTCAGATTAGGTTTCAGTTTTTACAATTATATCACATATTATGACAACAGTAAGACCTGAAAATAATGCTATAAAGGGGAGAACTAAGCATTTTCTTACCTATCATTTATTTCAAATATCTTTATCTAACGAAAAAGAGTGTGTGTGTGTGAGTGTGTGAAAATTGTGAATTTGTTACAAGTTTACCATTTCAAGTACCAAAGTATATATATTTTTGCAATTATGCCAGCTTATTACACCACTGGTGTTATAAAAAAGGAGACTGGTAAGCAATTTGTTACCTGTCATTTATTTCAAATATCTATTTACAACTAAATCTGTGTGTGTAAGCATGTTTAGTGTTTATTAAGTGTTATAGTTTAACATTATATTTCTATCTTATGTTTCTCCATTGTGGATGTGTGTCAGCCACACATTTCGGGTCTAGAACTATATGTCAGGGTCTTAACCATTTGAACCCTGTTAATTGGTTCTTGCAGCTACACTGTAAAAATTTTTTTCAAGATTTGTTATCACAACATTTTTTCTTTTGTCAAATCAACTTTATAATAATTTATTTAGTTGAGATAACTTATTATTTTGAGTTTCTGATGGTTAAATTAATCTCCTTCATTGTATTAACTCACTTTTTCCAGTTCAATCAACTTAAAATTTTAAGGCAACCAGGTTACTTACATTTTTAAGTTAAACCATCAATATTTTTTTTACAGTGTATATTATTATCATTATTGTATACTATCATTAGGCTAAAAACGATATGAAGAGTTCAGATGCAAAAGTCTCTAAATGCCATTTGAAATTTTCTTCTTTAATAATGATTTTTATCAAACTTGTATATTTAAGTTCAGTAATCTCACTTAAATAACAATTAATAGGTAATTGTCATTGCAATTTAAGTGAAATCACTAAACTTAAATATACAAGTTTGATAAAAATGATCATTCTAGAAGAAAATTTCAAATGGCACTTAGAGGCTTTTGCATCTGAACTCTTCATATTGAAGTTGTGAATGTGACGGTAAAAACTTCTAAATATTTAATGATAGTAATGATAAAAAAGACTAGGCCTACATGATTATGAGATCAAGAAACAACAAAAAGTGTTAGAAACATGCCAAAAACACAATTCAGATATAGCGATATACGATAAAAACCAGCATATATCTCTAACATATATAATACACCTTTATGCACTAGAAATGTGTTGTTATTTGCTTTATTGAAAATAAGGGATTATGTCTGCATTGAAAGTTTATCGATTTATAACGACTAACTAGCCAGTTTAAATAATCTATTCTAATCTAAAATATCTATCTTTGAAACAAAAACCTTATATAAACAAAATAAACAATAACATCAAATAAATATGTTAAAATCAGTGGTGGAATATAACGAAGTACAAATACTTTGTTACTTTACTTAAGTACATTTTTCACGTATCTTTACTTTACTTAAGTAGAATAAATAGTGCATACTTTTTACTTTTACTTCGTTACATTTTGCAGCAATTATTCTACTTTCTACTCCACTACATTTCTACAACTTCTGTTACATTTTCTGACCAGTTGTTCCCCTGCCAAAACGTAATATGACCATCCGTCCATTGCACGTTTGTCTCACCAGTGACGTTTGGTTGCCATAGATACATCAACTAAATGCGTCTCGCACGCAGTGTGTTTATCGTGCAATTTATACACGAAAATTTGTTTTTACGTGCATAAGAAACACACCATGTGTAATATACGTTTGGTTAGGATTATGGCAAGCCAAGTGGTTCACTGCGGTCAAGCCAGCCGCAGTTTGAAAATACACGGTCAAGCCAGCCGCTAAAAAAATAAGCGTGTGCGCCTATTACTATGAATACGGTAATTTCAGTCACAGCAGAGGAAGAACGCGCTTCAGAGCGCTTGAGTTGCCCAGATCGATATATCTATCTTTTCTTTCTTTCTTTCTTTCTTTCTTTCTTTCTTTCTTTCTTTCTTTCTTTCTTTCTTTCTTTATCTTTTTTCTCTTTCTTTATCTTTCTCTATCTATCTATCTATCTCTATCTATCTATCTATCTATCTATCTATCTATCTATCTATCTATCTATCTATCTATCTATCTAGGCCTATCTATCTATCTATCTATCTATCTATCAACCTATCTATCTTTTTCTTTATTTCTATCTATATATTCATAACCTTTCTCTTTCTTTCTTTCTTTCTTTCTTTCCATGCAGTATCACCTCATATCAAACAATTTTATAGCATTTTGGATAAATGTCCCATTATTCAACTTCAGAGGGCCATAAATACCTTATTTCTAATAAGTAGAAAAAATTAACTGTCAGTTCTTGTAGGGGACATCCCATAGAGTACACACACCTCATATCAAACAATTTTACTGCAGCATTTTGGAGTAATGTTACATTATTTGACTTCAGAGGGCCATTATACCTCTTTTCTAATAAGTAGAAAAAAATGACGGTCAGTTCTTATATGGGACGTCCCATACAGTATACGCACCTCGTATCAAACCATTTTACTGTAGCATTTTTGAGAAATGTCCCATTATTCAACTTCAGAGGCCCATAAATACCTCATTTTCAATAAGTAGAAAAAAATAATGGTCAGTTCCTATACGGGACATCCCATACATACGCACCTCGTATCAAACCATTTTACTGTAGCATTTTGGAGTAATGTTACATTATTTGACTTCAGAGGCTGATACATTCCTCATTTCTAATTAGTAGAAAAAAACAACGATCACTTCATGTAGGCAACGTCCCTCATATATATTCCTCATTCTTCTGCGGGGGTGAAGCTCGTTGAGCGCCTCGCACCAACATTCAGCTCTCGTACGCGATCGATGATCGAAACACTCCTGCTCCAAGTAAATTTTTCTTTTGTACCAGTTATTATGACAACCTCTAACTGTCCCGGTTTTCCCCGAAGCCATAACTATGAGTAGTTAGTTAATGGAGACTTGTTTGATTAACCGCTTCAGTGAAGTGAGTTAGCGAGACAGTTACCGGAAGTGCCAGACCGGAAGTCTCGCACAAAACACCGTCAAAATGGCTGCGTCCGTATTTCCGTTAAAAATAAGGTGGATACACCTGGCTTGACATAGCCGCGCGTTCTCATCCTGGCTCAGCAAACGTGCAACGGATTAAGCCAGGATGCACTGATCAGACTAGGTCAAACCGCGACTGTTCAGTTATCCTGTCTTTCTTAATTCTACTTTTGTGAAATACCCCTCTGGATCAGTCCGAGTGACAGGAGTCAACAATGGTTACCATCAAAAATATCTTGTTATTTTTAGACATAATTTGTATTCTATCTCGGCCTTCAGGGTTTCAGCCCCCCTCTGAGTGTTGCTGTCTTCGTTCAGGCGTAATCCAGTTTATGCCTGATATATTTTAGCGTGTCCATATAATATTTTCCTATTGGCTTTAAAGAAGGGACCCTATACAAACAATGGTGTGTATATTTAGGCAAAATACATGCCTTCAAATAAATGATTTCAGCTTCATTATGAGGACACGAGTACGCTATCATGGCAGAAGGTTCAAAAGGGGGAAAAAAGTATTTTAAACTTTACGAAAAAATGCATCAAATTGATGAAAATCTATTAAAAAAAAGTATCCCCTCAAAAAAACTGCGTCAGTACAGACATTGCACCATTTGTGTCAAACCATGTGCTAAAAAAATCCTCCTGACACCCAATACATTTTTTTTTTTTGTCAGTGGATACATATTTTATGAGAATATCTCTGGAAACCCTTAGTGTGTCTGTGATACCAAACAAGCTATATAATAATATAATAATCATAATTTGACATGCTATAATGATAAAATATAACTAAAATGTTTTTCATAAATAATAAAAAAATTGCAATATGTTTCTTATGCACCAAACATGATAAATGGCAAAACTGTTTTTTTTCTTCTAGGTCTCATGATTTATATCTTTTATAGCAGTGGGAAATATATAAACATTTATTTGACATGATAATTCTCTTGATGCCAAAGAAAGAAGTCACTTTTAATTCTTTTTTTAGTAAAATAAATATATTTTCCAGGTGTGTCAGTTTCAATTGTTCAAGAGTAGATTCAGGATTTGACTATATAATCTACTATGATGCAAATTTCAACATATTTCAAAATCAGGAATAAACAATTTCTTTGAAATGTTCTTATTTTCTACTATTTACACATTTGGAGAAATATTTTTTTATAATAATATTTTCGATTGGTTTTAAAGACTTACACAAAGTGGATACATTAGATAAATAATAATATTAATAATAATAAATTAAATGAAAAATAAATAAACAAAAGCGTTTTATAAAAACATATATTTAAAAAATATATATATATTAATCAAAATAAAAACAATGATTTTACCTGAAATAAATGTTTACAAACATTATAAATAATAAAACACGCACCCACACACATCTTACAACAAATTGAAAATGATTAATAAAACTTTTAATACATTTAATAAAAATCTAAAAATTTACATAAACAACATAAGCAAAACATAAGTTGTGAAACGACACAGATACAATAACTACAGAAAGCCTCACTAGGAAAGCATACACTAGGAAAGCCTCTTCATACATGGATTTACTGTAAATATTTAGTTTTTTTTATTCTAATAAAGAGATTTAATAAGTGAGCTTAATTCAATTTCAGAGTGGGGATAGGATAAAATACCACTAGCAAAGTTATGCTTTATGAATGAAGAATTTGACAAATTAAAATAAAAAAATTAACAATAGGCCTATACTTCAAGGGTCAATTTGTATTATCATTATGGTAAAACAGTATGTTTTTTTTTAAACTGAAAGAGTGTGACATTTGCCAAATCATATGTGAGAAGGTTAGTCTATTGATTGGATATAGTGAAAAAAACAAACAAACAAAAAAACAGATACTTTGTAAACTAATACAAATATTGACACATTTTACAGCTTTCGCAGTCGTACTATTTCTTTATGGGCATTTCAAGCGGAACTCCTCGCAGCGCGCGCTCTATCCAAACCTCAAACACGGACTCTTTTGATTCGGTTCACGGAAGTCGCTCATCATCACAGTCTGTTTAGCGTTCACGAAACCGGATTAGGACATTGGGTTATATATGTGCTGTTAATTTCGACAGTCCACCAGAATGCGGTTGGCGTGTTGGCTGGTGTTCGCGGGCTGTTGCTCTCTCACTGCGGGGATAGAGCCGATCAGCACCAGCATCGCAGTCGGGATGGCCGCCGCGCTCACCGGGTTTCTGGCCAGTTACCAGAACGTGCTCTATTACTTCCACGAGTGCTGCAGACCGGAGTGGATCTCGTTCAACAAAACAGGTTTGAACCATGAACTGTAAAAAAATAAAATAAAAAATAAAATAGGTTTGAACGGAAGGTTTTGTCATATTTGTAGTAGGAGGCTATTGGACGCTGTATGGATACGTATGATTCAAGTGTTGCAATGTTGGTCATCATATGATATCCTATAAAGCCACATTTCCCTTATATTAAAATGAATTAAATCCACATTTAACTTTATTTACATTAATCAATTCTCTACACTTGAATACCAGACAGCTAGGACATGTAGAAAGTATTAATGAATACAGCCTCTTCTCTTGTATGAACTTCTCTATGCTACTTCCTGATTGCTTTTTAAACCAGCATAAAAATGCAAAGCACCGGACACCACTATCATAAATAATTATGCATCATCTGGTGCATATTACAATATATAGTCATGTAACTTCTACTGTTATTATTATAGCACCAATTCTTGTATTGGTGCTGATGATGGCGTTATATTTGTTCCCATCCCAATCAATTTGAATGCGATTCATATTAATGACTGATGATGTAAGACGCTTTGGATAAATGTAGTGATGTTAATGTAGTGATAATATGATTCGCCCCAAACTAATTTATGTAGACTGACTTTCATAGTTTTATTTATCTGCACGTAGCCTGAGTTCATTTTATTTAACTTGACACTTCTAAAGTGCAATTCACCCAATCCTCGTCTGCATATATCATTATAATATGAGCATCGGCATGTATATGGTGGTTGGCAAGTTTTTAATCAACAGGTGTTTCTCAATGTCAAGGATACTTCCTTGGCAGGACGGGTCCTTCCAAGTCATTTCCTTCAGAGGCTAGGCAAGGGTCCTCTTTAGCGTTCGGAGAACACGTAAATGGAACAGGCTAGCAAGTGCACGTCATTGCGTCATTACATCAGTGAAAGGTCCGCTTCGGCGCTGCAAAAATCATTGTGCTGGTGTACTGCACTGTTTAAAATAATACACTTGACAGTCCTTATTTTGTCTTGTCAGTCCTCATAGAAATAAATAAATAAAGGGATAATGTATAACCAGGCGGTTGTTATAGTGAATACAACCCCGCAAACTCTAAAGCAGAGGGGTCTTGATCAGCCGGTTGTATTCGCTGTAACAACCGCCTCGCTGTACATTTTCCCACTTATAACATGGCTACCTACCAAATAAATCAATAATTTGACACAAAACATTGATTTAAAAAGGAGTTTATTCATTCAAAAACGATTATATTACCGGAGTTAACAGAACTAACGTTACGTCCATATAGCAACATGATCTAACGTTAGCTGTTAAAACACATGCAATTGTAAAATATGTGACCAACAAAAAAGGCTATGAAGTAAAAATTAAAAAGTTAATCACCAGTAAAAGGGAACAGCTTTAAATCCCCTCAGCAAATTTGAGCCGATATGTTAAATAGTTTAACAAACATTAAATAAATGGCTAAACTGAAATTATACTTGCTTACATTTGAAAGCATATTGCCGTTATCACTCCGACTCCGCTAACGGTCGACATTTTTTATTTTTTGAACAAGATAGCAAAGCTGCGCATAGGATTGTGGGTGATTTAAGAGCGCGAAGGCTACACATATGCATCCTTTCCTGTGTATGGGATATTTTCCGAACGAAGGACTCAGTCCTTGGTTGAAATTCTGAGGATCCTCGACATTGGAACAGTCCTTCGACGGACGTCGATGACGTAGCATCCTCGAAATTCCGGCTTCCGAGGATCCTTCCTTGACATTGAGAAACGCCTAACATGCACTATTGAACTGAACGCTGCGCGCATGCGTCATTCGTCGCGCACAATCGTCGTCACTTTTCCTCAAGTAGGAAGTGCGGTCTGTGAGTGATTTGGAGCCTTCGTTTTGTTTTGTTTCGTTTCTCCGTTTCCCATTCAAAGCATCGATGTTTTATGTAGTAAAATGAAAGCTCGGCCATGGACATTTTTACTGCACTGCATCTTGGTCTCAGGACTGATCGTGGAGGCCATAGAGCCCGTATCCACATCACTGCTGGTGGGAACAGGAGCTGCAATGCTGGGCAGGAAAATATATCGCTATTTATATGAAACGTGTGATGAGAACTGGGTCGACTTTAATGCAACAGGTGATCACAATGTATACTATAGTTGGATTTGATCATCCACTGATCATGCATTTGTGCATTATGTCCCGTAAAAGTACCAAAATGCCACTTCATGCTTCTTTCTAACGTTTTATATTGGTTTATTTGATAATAATGATTAAAAAAAAATAAGCCAGACTGTGTTTATTTTTAAATGATCATTGTAAAGAAAGAAACTTGTCTTATTACAGGGTTTGTTTGTGCCTAAAGTGCTTGAATTTGACTCTTTTTTTTTTTAAATTTAAGTCCTGGAAAACCCATTTATGTAGTGCTTGAATTATTAAAAGACTATAATGAAATTAGAGTTACGTTTTTGTCAGTGAAACAACATTTCACGCAAAATTAACACAACAGCATGTCTGATATAGAGACATTCTCATGACTGTGAACATGATATTGCTCATATAAATAAATATCTAAGTATATGATACAGCTTTCATTCTTCAGGTCCTTCATATTCATGGGGGAAAATCATTTTGAATAAGGAAAGCGATATCTTTGTCATAGTATCCTTTTAATGATTCATGTTGCCACAGTCATTGCATACTTTGTTTGCCATTTTGTTTTATTAGTATGTTTTTATTTATCTGTTAACCTTTCTTAGAATTTGAAAAATGAAGATATTGTTTGATTTTAGTCCAAAAAAAAAGTAGTGCTTGGAAGTCCTGGGATTTCATTTTAGTGTCTGTACGAACCAGTGATTTCTTTCAGAATCTTTGATTCAAGATCAATGAAACTTGTTTTGTTGTCTGATGCATGCATTTATTTATTTATTTGAAGTGCAGCTGTTCTGTATAAAGCATGTGGTTGCTGTAAATGTGTCCTCAGGACTGAAGTATGACCTTGACACCAAGCTGTACGGGCAGCACGTTGCAGCTCAGGTCATCCTGAAAGCCGTCACAGGCTTCATGAAGAATGAAAACCCGAAGAAACCTCTGGTTCTGTCCCTCCACGGCTGGACCGGGACTGGGAAGAACTTTGTGAGCCAGCTGATAGCAGAAAATATATACGAGAAAGGGATGTCGAGCAGTTTTGTTCATCTGTTTACAGCAACGGCACACTTTCCTCATGAGGTTCACATAAACACATACAAGGTAATGTGTTTTATATATATATATATATATATATGTAAATACATGGAAATGACTATGTATTTCACTGCAACAGCAATCAAATGTTTTAAAGTCAAATCTGTACAAAATGGATGTTTGCAATTGTTCAGAACCAGTTACAGGACTGGGTAAAGGGGAACGTTTCCATCTGCCCACGGTCCATGTTCATCTTTGATGAAATGGATAAAATGCATCCCGGGCTGATCGATAGTATAAAGCCTTACCTGGACTTCTACGAAAATCTGAACGGAGTATCGTACAGAAAGGCCATCTTCATTTTCCTCAGGTCAGTGTTATTTTGTGTAAACAGAAAATTTAAACCTGTAAAAATGAATGTTATATATATATATATATATATGAACTGTTCTCTATCAATTTTAAGCAAAAAAACTGTATTCAACATTGATAATAATAAGAACTATTATGAATAATTGAGCAGCAATAATAATTGAGCAAATCATCGTATTAGAATGGTTTTTGAAGGATCATGTGAATTTTACAATATATTCAAATAGAATCTGTGAAATATAACTTTTTTAAAAAAATATATATTGTAATATATATTTTCATAAAATAAAAGCAACCTTGGTGAGCAGAAGAGACTTTGAATTTTTTTTTTTTTTTAATTATTATTATTCTAAACTTTTGCCTGGTGTGTATTTGCTCTGAAATGCAGGCATTTTTATTTATCAGAGGACCCTTTTACACCCAGTTGTTTTTTGTCTTTATAGTAACGCCGGCGGTGAGAATATCGTTCAGGTGGCTCTGGATTTCTGGAGGGACGGGAGAGAGCGAGAGGAGATACAGCTGAAAGATCTAGAGACGGCACTGACACTGTCCGTCTTCAACAACAGAAACAGTACGTCACATGCCTCTTATCTTTCTCACATCTGCTAAAACATGGAGCCAAAAATTCTCACAATCCGACCGTTATGCATTAAACTGAGTGCACAAGTAATTTTGTTTATTCGTTTCACTGTAGTTTGGTGATGATTTGCACTATAATAAAGATTTCACAACAAATGTATCATTATATCCATTATATTTTTTGAATGTTAGCTTTCATCCAGTGTGAAATGTAGCTGTTTGTGAATGAAAAGTTTGAAAGTACACAAAAAATGTAGTTGTTTTTAAATATTAACCGCAGGGATGGAAATTACTGTTACGGTTAAATTACTGTTATTTCAAAATCTACCAGCCACTCAATGTTTTTACCAGCCACTTTCTTGTTTTTAACCGACAATGTGTAACTGCATGTGAATATTAATACTACAAGATCTACAATACTTAACCAGTTTATTTAATCTTAAGTCTCAGTGAAATACTGACATTTTCTCTTTATCTCTTATACACACACAAACCATGAACTGATATACATTTCGTTAAATTAGTAGGGCAGATTAAACAAAAAATGGAAAATGTATTAAACGTGTAGAATACTTTCCAAGCCATAGCATTATAAATTCAGATAGAGTGATGTATAAAAAAATAAAACATAAGATTATCTTTTAAAATCGATTGAACACAGAGCAGTTTTTCCTATGAGTGAGACTGGAAAACCCGTAGTGGATGAAAGCGGAGTGATTACAGAACGCTTAGAGTGCAGAGAGGAATGTGCTTTGGCTCCAGTCCTGGCTTTGCGTCCGCGCCGTTAGGAGCTCAAAATGGACATTCACTCTAGATAAGAGGATATTTTAACTAATTTGCGGTAAAACTAGTCGATCACGAGTGGCTCAACTGGTGGATCTATAGATAAGCTCATCTTTCAGGCATTTTACCGACGGCTTGACACTTTAGCGTGAGAAATCGGGGGTGCGGCGTGAGCAGAGTAGACCAATCACAACAGAGTCAGCCATCTGACCAATCAGAGCAGAGTAGACCAATCACAACAAACTGATCCATCTGACCAATCAGAGCAGAGGAGACCAATCACAACAGACTGGGCCATCTGACCAGTCAGAGCAGAGTAGACCAATCACAACAGACTGGGCCATCTGACCAATCAGAGCAGAGTAGACCAATCACAACAGACTGATCCATCTGCCCAATCAGAGCAGAGGAGACCAATCACAACAGACTGAGCCATCTGACCAATCAGAGCAGAGGAGACCAATCACATCAGACTGGGCCATCTGACCAGTCAGAGCAGAGTAGACCAATCACAACAGACTGGGCCATCTGACCAATCAGAGCAGAGGAGACCAATCACAACAGACTGGGCCATCTGACCAATCAGAGCAGAGTAGACCAATCACAACAGACTGGGCCATCTGACCAATCAGAGCAGAGGAGACCAATCACAACAGACTGATCCATCTGACCAATCAGAGCAGAGGAGACCAATCACATCAGACTGAGCCATCTGACCAATCAGAGCAGAGTAGACCAATCACAACAGACTGATCCATCTGACCAGTCAGAGCAGAGTAGACCAATCACAACAGACTGGGCCATCTGACCAATCAGAGCAGAGGAGACCAATCACAACAGACTGGACAAAATCAGGAAACTTTAAAATAGCATAATAAAGGCACTGTAAACATTTACATTTTTCTTCTCTCCATCCACAGGTGGTTTCTGGCACACGAGTTTAATCGATAAGAACCTGGTGGATTTCTTCGTGCCGTTCCTACCTCTAGAGTACAAGCACATCGTTCAATGCGGTTTGTCCGAGATGGTCTCCAAGGGTCACGTCCCGGAAAAAGAAGTGGTTGAGATGATGGCCCACGACCTGAACTACTTCCCTAAAGAGGAGCGCGTCTTCTCCATGCAGGGCTGCAAGGTCATCCCCAGCAGGCTGGACTTCTATGTTTGAACGAGAGGGAACAAAGAAACACTCAAAAACAGCAAACTGGTTATCGTCTGCGTGCTTTTTTCACAGAAATCCCTTCTGTTATTCTGCAATAGAAAGAACTGGAGCAGAATTGCTCCTCAGACATTACAGCTTTACGTGATGCCATGCTCTCGAAAGACTGAGATGTTTTTTATTTAATCACAAGTGTTTATACACCAATGGACTGTTTTATTGATGCCGCATCAGCTGGGTGTTTCTGTTAAAGATGAAGTAGCAGAGGAAGCTTTTTTTTTAAAGACTTTGCACATTGGAGCTCCAAAAAACACTGGGTATTGGTGATTTTATATGTTGATCTGTATTAATTTTTATCATGAGAGAGAGAGAGAGAAAAAACTATTTGCCTTTATCTTGAAATATCACATTTATTAATGCCTTTTTACAAGAAAAACGATGTGTTGGGCTGTTTTTTGGATAAAGAAGATAATTAGCTAGAAGACAATTGTAGCTTAACCTGGATCTCATTTTGATCTTTGAAACATGATCATTTCTTTACATCACTGTCAGGATTCAGATTTGTGTTGTCGATTTTAAGTTGCAATTTCACAACTACTGTAGTGCAACTGGTTCCTCTACAAGGTTTTGTTGAGTAAATGACAGTGTTATGGGCACTAGTCATTATTTGATGATCTGGTTTGAACATAATTTCACATTTGGAACGTTTATGAAAATAATTTTTGAGATGCATCAAGATAAATTGAAAAGAAAAAAATACTTGAAAGATTCTACATACTGATTTTGATAAAGCTTAATGACCAAAACAGATTCAATTGGTCTTGAGAATTTTATTTTTGTACACATTGGCAAGTTAATTTCTATTTTTTTAATTGAGCCGCTCAGTGGTCCATGAACTGAATAGGTTTTAAAATCCTTAGTCACAGACATTGCTGGAAACAATTAAATTTTCACTTCAAATTCTACCCAATGTAATACTTCAATGCAGATAATCTTAATGATTTTCCATTGCTAAAAATCACAATTTCAAAATTCCTTGGTATTTGTCCAATTGACAGGGTTTCCACAATCTGATGTGTAATTATTATGTTGGTTTTCTAGTAATTCTGAGTCCCACATAATGTAACTCCACCAAGCTTGTTAGTGAAAGGACCTAAGTCCAATAGGAATATTTTTCCTAGCACACTTATTTAGAGTATCTCCACCAAAACTCTACACAGTTCTTCTGGCTGATCATGGTGTTATTTTTCTATTAAATTTAGAATGGTCAATTATAAATCCTAAAATACCCCTGAGATTTATTTTAAATTGATTCAAATTTCAACGGTCAAAACTCACACACTCATGCACAAGGCCTCAAGAACACATTTCTTTCTCTTAAATGAGTCTGTAAATGATTACATTGTGGTGTAATGTTTATGGCATCAGAAGGATCTAAATGGCAGGCGAGAAGTGACCCAGAATGCCACGTAAATACAGGTGTATTAATGTCTGATAACGTCACAGTATCTGCTCTCTTAAAGGGATAGTTCACCCAAAAACGATTACTCGCCCTCATGTCACTCCAAACCCGTAAGACTTTCTTTCATCTTCGGAACAAAAATGATTATCTTTTTGATGAAATATGAGATTTCTATCCTGTCATTGACAGCTACACAACTACCATTTTGATACTTCAAAAAGTTCATAAAGAGGTTGTAAAACTAATCCACAGATTGGTCGTATTTTTCTGTAGAGTTTCTATGATGAAAAGATTGAATTCAGGCTTTTATTCACATGTAAACATTCATCAACTCACACATCAGTTGCGGTAAACAGAAGCGCAAGCATGTTACGCAACACACTTGAGCTTCAGCAAGAACCAATGAGGTTAATTCTCGTGTTGAGCTTGTGTGTTTATCTGTGAATAAAAGCTCAAATTCAGTCTGTTTATCATATAAAACGATCAAGTCTCTTCAGAATATTTGGACTACACCACTGAATTCATATGTATTAGTTTTATGATCTCTTTATAAACTTTTTAGAAGCGTCAAAGTGGCGAATGTCGATGGCGGGACAGAAAGCTTTCAGATTTCACTGAAAAGATCTTTATTTATGTTCCGAAGATGAACGAATTTAGGTCGCGGGTTTGGAATGACGTGAGGGTAATTAATTAATGGCAAAATTTTTTGTTTTTGTGAATGATTCATTAAAAAATAATAAATGCAAAGAGAAACAGCTGAAAATTTTATTTGAAAATAAACAGCACTTTATTTCTGATCCACATGTTTTTGTGAGCATTGGGTCCAGATGAGAAGACGAAACTCCATCAAGTGTCTGCATCCGGTCTTGTGATTTCAACACTTCCAGTACACACTGACACCGACAACATTATCCCATGAAGAGCCGTCCCCGGCTGTACTCGAGAGGCACAGTTCCATATTAAACGCTTCAGGTTTCCATTATACGAGCAACACGGCATTAATGCAGCCATCGTTTTCTGGGTTATTCGTCACCTGGGCATATTTACCTGAAACACATAATCACATTTCATTTTTCACTCTGAAACACACTTTCAAGTATTGCATAGATGAAAAAATGAAGAGCCAATTAGACTACTGACCCCAGATGACCTTTCCGCCCTGCGTGACCAATCCCAGCTCACTGACGTTGACCTCAATGACCGTTCCCTTGGTGATGACGCCCAGCGTGGTGTACAGCGTAGAGGAGGGGTTCTTCTTCACCCCCAGGATGGGCAAACAGAACGTGGCCTTCAGCTCAGGATGAGTGACGTGTGCCTTCTTAAACCTCAGTCCCTGTAGACATTAATATACATAGATATACGTATATGTGTGTGTGTCTAAATGTACGTGTATAATATGTATGCCAAGTTGTTTATTAATTTTAACTTAAGGGACCTTGTAAAGTGTTGACAAATACGTACAAATATCATACATTTGTTGCATTTAGTGTGTAATAAGGCTTCTATTATATAAAATATAAAAATATGTATATTTGACCTTCTATTATCATAACTCACTCGAGATATTATTTTTATCCATATTGCCCAGCCCAAGAGTGCATATGTGATGTTTTACCATAGGTCTGATGAAGCGCTCATATTTGGGTGGTTTGCGCGTGAAACCGTCTCCCACGAAACAGACTTTGGTCACCATTCTCTTCCAGGCCTTTTTCTGTCTCTTTCCTGTGCGGATGACTTTCAGAACCTCAGTTTCACCCTGGGCTCGGACCTTCGGTAAAGGAACTTCCCACTTTCCCTAAAGAAACACATCAAACAAACACTAGGCTTAGTAAGGACACAAGACAAGGTGAAATAGCGGTTTTACTTCCATGATATAACATACTTCTAAGCAAAACAGGATATTAAAATTAACAAAAATTAAATAAATAACGGGACTTGAATTAATCAACAGATAACTGACTGGATTGGGGAAATTTCATGTTTATTTTAGTCAATACTTTTTCTTGCACGTTCCTTTGAACATTATCAAAAGATTAATTGTTTCATATATTTGGTAAAAGTTGGTTATTATCATTAAATAGTAACTAAACACTAAACCAACTTTTTTTAGTTAATGATCTGTAAGAATGGATATTTATTAATACCAGTCATTGATTCTAGTAACTTATTTGACATTTGTTTATAAAGTGTTTTATTTCTACAATATATGGTGTAAAAACGTCTTAGTGCTGCCCTCTTCAGGTTGAACGGTGGCTACTGCAGTTGAATTTTCCTATTGGATGTTCCGCATTTCGTGACGTATGCAGGTTTCAGCTCACCAAGCGAGCTACGCCCTTGGCAGTATAAAAACTATCTTGTGTCGTCAAAAACACTGTAGCGAGTCAGGAGTTGGAATTGTGAGTATTGAAAACGATCAGAATAGTGTTTTAGCATCTATTTCATCCCCTCTATCTCCGCTGGGGTCTGCCCACTTTTTCAGCATTTTCAAATATTGCCAGTGGGTGGAGTCAGGCTCTGACCAGGGGTTTAGTTACCCTTTAAAGGAGCCATATGCAAGATTGTGCCTAAAACTGGTACTGCAATCACTTTCAAATTACTGTAGAGTGGTGTAGAGCTGGCAACCCGAATGCTGCAACACTACTGACTCTGTGATTGGTCGGCGGAGGGTGGCGCATCAAAACACAACATAACAACATCAGTTGAGGGCTGCAACTTCACTTTTTTAAATGACAATATCCTGGTTGGACTGCTAGTATTTGAAACGAACACGATGTCTTAATGTCTAGTGACATATCAGGGAAAAATGTATGATTAATTGAAATAAATTTCTTGTATACAGCTCCTTTAACAAAAACAAAAACTATTAAAATCACTACTGTTAATTTAAATAAAATACAATACAATTTACATATTAATTTTAGCTAATTTAAAATATGTGCATAAAACTAGTAAAACTAAAATAACAAATTAAAGAACACTGGGTACAACAGGACCGACACTTAAAGGAGAACTCCGGCGAACAATGAACCTTTGGTCTAATAAAACATCGGTACATAGTAAGTCGACCGTTCTCTGAGATTTGTTTTTATGATAATCGAAAGTAAAGAGTTGTAACTTATCTCTAAAAACTACTAGTACTAGTAATGGGGGCATTGACTAAGTAAAAAGAAATCGCTAGTTTATACCACTAACAAGGCTCAAAATAGCCCCACACTAACACAGTAACATAATGAGGCTCCATACAAAAACTGTTTAGCGTATAACGCTAGTATATGGGGGCATTGACTAAGCAAAAAGAAATCGCTAGTTTATACCACTAACAAGGCTCAAAATAGCCCCACACTAACGCAGTAACATAATGAGGCTCCATACATGCAAAATGAAGCATTGAGAACTTTGTAAGTGTACAGACTGTTTAATAAGAAAATACATTATGAAGACAGTTCACTTCGTGTATACAGACAGGAGCCATCTTAAAAAATAGTCTCGATAAGTCAAACCACGAACGTCGTGCTGAGTGATCTGAACTGTATGAAGTAAAGCGAACTTCTGACGGCGTTCGGGGATCGACTTATCGAGACTATTTTTAAAGATGGCTCCTGTCTGTATACACGAAGTGAACTGTCTTTATAAAGTATCTTCTTATTAAACAGTCTGTACACTTACAAAGTTCTCAATGCTTCGTTTTGCATGTATTGACCCTCATTATGTTACTGTGTTAGTGTGGGGCTATTTTGAGCCTTGTTAGCCTTGGTATTAACTAGCGATTTCTTTTTACTTATTATATGTGTATCACACAATCAGCATCCTTATAAACACTTTGAACATCATAGAAAGTCAGTGGAGAAAAGCTACGCCCCGCACTTGGCGGGATTGGTTGCATATTGGAAACGGGTGTTTTTAAACCCCGTTATTGATCCTCAGCAATGGTGTTGACTTATGCATTTGCACATGGTTAGTCTTAAAGCATATATATATATATATATATATATATATATATATATATAAATAAACAGACATATAAACAATATTTAATAACATAAATCTGCTGTCTCATTGGATACTCACAGCCTTCTCTTTCCTCTTCTGTTTGATCATATTGGAGAGGACTTTGGCGCGTGATTGGCCCTCTCTGTCCAGCAGGTACGCTGGCACCGCCCCTTCTGGTGTCTTGTCATCATCCTTCTGTTTGCTCTTCCTCTGCTCGTGCATCTTAATGCTGTAACGCAAAACAATATGCAACAGGTCATCAAACCTCTGTGACATTTAGCCTATATCTTAAGCAAAGTGAAGCTGACGGGAAGTAAAGCTCACGTCTTCTTCATCTGGATCTTCTCAGCGTGTCTCTGTTTGTGGTAGAGCTTGGCTTTAAGGCCGATCATCTTTCTGGCTTTGTGAGAGCGCTCGTGCGCCTCACGGCTTTCCTTCTTTCTCTTTCTCTCGTGGTGGTCCAGACGATAGCCATGCCGCTTGCGGTGTAGCTCGATGTGCTCGTTCTGAGGCTGTAGACAAACACAGAAAACTATAGGTTCAACAACATGAATACTTGATTTTGTCTCTAGGTTTAACACTTACATTTATACTCAGTTGTAATACTGACTATTAAATGTTTTCCCAAATATGAATATGAATCTACGCCCATAACTGAACTTACTGACTGAGTCCACTTTCCTCCAGCTATATCGAACATACAGGTAGTCATGGGAAATATTCACTCTATGTAATAAGTATTATGCATTACAAATCATTAAGTGCAACCAAATAGACAGATATAAACACAAAGATAACATGCAAATCAGCTGAGCTCTTCAATACTGTGACTCACTGGGGTTTGTAATAACAATATCAGATGAAACACAAATGTTATAAGCTTCGACTACATAGTAATGAGCCACAGTTCTTGCATAATGCAATGGTTTAAACCTATGGTTTATAGCATATGATATATGGTATATATATATATATATATATATATATATATTAAATACATACACAGTACTGGTCAAAAGTTATAGAATGAGAGCATATTAGGAATAATTGTAAAGTATATTAAAATACAAAACCATTCATTTAAATTGTAATAATATTTCACTAAATTGTTTGATAAAATAAATACAGGCTTGATGAGCATAAGAGAAATCTTAAAAAAAAAACATTAAAAAATAGAATTATGGAATAGTATGTTAATAGTAATAGTGTGTGTAAATAAACACAGTCATAACAAAAAAGAAAACAAGAATTTTAATAACAAAAAACATAGGTTGATCTGTAGTGTATATGGTATGTAGTTACGTGTATATACATATATTTATATAATTATTGCGCACAGATATATGACTCACACGAAATATAAACACACACAGCCACATGTCAGCCAGACTCGCACTAAACAAAGACATTTCCACGACACTGGCTATTTTTTTCTTCTTACCATGATGTGATCTGTGGTGTTGAAGTGTTTATAGAGCTGTCAGGTGTTGTTTAATTCGCTGTTTGGTGTCTACCTCTGATATTTTGATGGTTTTATTTAAGACTCGAGTTCGCGATGTTCTTCACTCAGAGTCTGTTCTGTAGAGGAAGCTCGTCAATAAAAAGCCTCCGGTCACTATTAACAGCAATGTCTGCAGTGCAAACCTTCGTCTGTTTTGAGTATTAACCACCCTTAATATACATTCTGAAAATAAATATATGAAACATTTGTTTATTAATCTAGGAGTTAATGTCCGTGGTGCAAAGTAGCAAATAATTCAGTGTTTGCAAAGAAACGTTAGGAACCAAATATTGAGCCTTTGTTCTCTCGGGGGATCATTATAGACGTGATACACATAGGACAGCATGGCTGATGAACCTCCAGTAAAGAAAATTAAAGCAAATCAACCACCAAATAAAGAGGTTTGAACTTATTTTTTGTTTTTCGCATTTATATGGTTGTTATAAATTTGGAGCTATAAAATTAAATTCGTTACCAAGCTGTTTTGTTTCACATTAGTGATTTAAGACACCAAAAACACTGTTTATGTCAGTTTAATGTCACCGTGTTTATAATATTTCAATTTGTAGGGTGAGGAGAGATTAAACTGGAGGAAATGGAAAGGACAAAGTAAGTGACAACTTGAAAATATTCTACATTTACAGAAACATTTTTGACATCAAGTTGGAATTCCTATTTCGTGTCAAAAATCTCTCTTTGATAATAGTCATAAATAATCAAAAAATGTCTGCGTATGTGTTGTGTTTTGTATATTTGGCCCATCAAGGCTTTAATGGCTCATATAATATGATGTAGTGAAAATATGGAGCTCTTGTTCGAGGAGGAAAAAACACTTAAATTATACCTAGAGGCTCAAGATGAGCAAAAATGTGCAATTTTATGCAGATTCTGATATTTATATGGAAAATTATGAAATTCTAAAGATTCTGTTGAAATTCAATGAGATCTTTATAACAGTGTAAGATACATGCATATTAATATCAGTCATCACTCTATATCTGCCAATAATATCTCTTAGTAAGATGATTTTTTTAATTCTTAGTTTTATGATCAAAGCTCTGTACATACTGCAATGTAATACAATGCTCATTGAGAGATTAACAAATAAACCTTCCTCTAAAACCCTGATGATCATATTCATATTTGATACATTTGAACATGATTTCTTTTATAATAAATTAGGTCTGGAATCCTCCAGTAAACCTAAGTTGATTCAGTCCAGTAGTGTTTATCTTGAAATATCAATGATCTTGTTTACATTTATGAACATATTTCTCAATATAAAAATACACGTGAGGACATTTTTACAACTATACTAAAACACCTTTTACTTGCTACAAGTCTAAACTATCAATCAGACGACAGAAGGCAAGTAGATTGTGTGCAACAGGTTTTTTGATCATGTTCTACTTTAGAGGTCTTAGAAATGATTTAATGTATCAAAAACGACTCAGGATGCATAAGGCTTAAGATTATTATGTAAAGCTCCTCTCACGGTCATATTAAAGTGTGTGTCTCTGTCTTCATCCCCAGAGAAAGAGGAGAAGAGACAACGCAAAGAGAGCAAACTCATCAAGCAGCTGGAGAAACAGAAGCAGGAGAAAGAGGAGGAGAATAAGCAGCAGGTTCAGCATGAAGAGAAGGAAAGTAAAGGTGAGAGAGAGCTTTGGTATATACTAAATTGTGTACTAGACCAGGGCTTTTAGACTCCCAGAGTGGCCCAACTATAAACATTTATCTCAGAATTTCTATGATAATATGAATTGTTGTAAGACAGAAATAATGATACTGTGTCGTTGTAAATCAGTTTCATACATTTACATGACACTGGCTCTCTTTGGCTCAGATCTGAATGAACCGCTGTGATCGTACTTGTCAAAGGTGTAATAGACAGACAAATCGTTGTCATTTCTGAATAAGATCGCATGGGTGTTTAACGATTAATCGTGCAGCTCTGTAAAATATAGTACAATACTAGAGTAAAACCGTACTAGTTTGTCTTGCCAGGTCGTGTGTATACGTTGAGCGTGGCTTTGCCTGGCTCAGTGATGGATAATGCTCAGTCACCGGAGCTGCGGACGTACCTGGCGGGTCAGATCGCCCGGGCCTGTGGCGTGTTCTGTGTGGATGAGGTGGTCATATTTGATGAGATGGGCGGGGAGGATGCAAAGTGAGTCGCTGCACAGCCCTGCATATTAACAACCAATTCTGTGATTATATCAATGAAAGTCATCACATACAGTTTACATTACATACTAGTTGAATGTTAAAGGGATACTCCACTTTTTTGGAAATAGGCTCATTTTACCACTCCCCCAGTGTTAAACTGTTGAGTTTTACTGTTTTCGAATGTATTCAGACGATTTTTTGATATTTAGAAGAATATCAGTAACCAGACTGTTTCTGGTCTCATTGACTTTCATAGTATATTTTTTTCCTACTATGGAAGTCAATGAGACCAGAAACTGTCTGTTTACTGATATTCTACTAAATAACAAAAAATCGGCTGAATGGATTCGAAAACGGTAAAACTCAACAGTTTAACTCTGGGGGAGTGGTAAAATGAGCCTATTTCCAAAAAAAGTGGAGTATCCCTTTAAGACTGAAGTTATTTCATATATGTATGTGCATCTCAGTTCATCAAAATAACAGAAGCAGTCAAATGTTAAAGATTTTAATTACTAGTATTAACAAAGGTATAATTTAGATCACAGTCTGCAAAATATGTTCAGTTTAATGTCAATTAAATGACATATAAAATGCCTGTTTAATGTCAAAGAACTTTGTTTGAACACAAGGTTATAAATAGGCTTTTTTATTCACAAATTCTGTCATTTTCTGTCACTGTTTGGATGTAGTAAAACACCCACAGATGTAGCCGAAAACATCTGGGTCATGTTTGCATATAATTCTAACCTTGAAATCATGGATTAGGCATTAAATAATGCTAAGATAATGAAAATCGGCCGATAAATGAGCAAATGTTTGTAATTGGTTCAGAGGAAGAGAGGGATCATGTCATTGTGGCAGTTTTTTCTGTTGATTAAATAATAATACAAGACGACTTAACCTTGGAAATGGTCGTCAAAAGCAAAAGTGCTACTGCTACCAACCACACATAATATGTGATAAAGTGTGGTAAAGCAAAACAGGCACTATTTTATTCTAATCAGCCCCCCAATATTAGTTTAAAACGTATAGGATTTCATACAGCAGTGTTATCAATATGACTGCTCTGTCCAAGCTTCAAAACATTGTCTTTATATTTCAGGAGCGTTGAGGGAGAGTTCAAAGGCATTGGAAAGAAAGGCCAGGCCTGCGTCCAGCTCGCACGCATCCTGCAATACCTCGAGTGTCCACAGTGAGTGCTGTCACTCAGATTTGTGTCATAGTAATGTGCATCTAGACGTTTAGGCATCACATCTGTGTTGTGTGCAGATATCTGCGGAAATCTTTCTTCCCGAAGCATCCAGACCTGCAGTTTGCTGGTGAGTGTCACATAATCTAATACTGATGGTGTTTTAGAGCCGAATGTTTGCATAATCGGTTCAAATGTGTGTGTTTCAGGTCTGTTGAATCCTTTGGACAGCCCGCATCACATGCGCATGGACGAGGAGGCGGAGTTTCGAGAGGGGGTGGTGCTCGATCGGCCAAGCAAACCGGGGAAAGGGTCCTTCGTCAACTGCGGGATGAGGAAGGTGTGTGTTTAAAGACACGCAGACTGATTGGCCTTTCATTGAACAGGAAAGGACCTCAATCTCTTTATTCTGTCTACAGGAAGTTCAGATCGATAAACAGCTTAAGATGGGCCTGAGAGTGACTGTACAGCTCAACAAGAGCCAAAACAAAGGTATACACACTCTGCTTGTTTATTATACTATATTTATATACTATAGTTTCTATCCATATTTTGAAATTGCTTTTATTTTTTTATTTTACAGTCAATTTTTTTAATTTTTAACTATAACTTATAAACCTTTAAATACAGCCTTACTGTGAGCTACAAGGTTGTTAATCAATGGAATTTGCTTTTTTCGAAGCCGTCAGTCCATGTTATTTCAACTTGTTTAACAGTGGAATTTCTGCTGAAAAACTACATTACCCATGATGCAGTACAGAAAATTCCACCAGAGAGTCAAAACAAGCTATGAGCTCTTTAGCTCTGCCCACTCCCATGAAGTGTGTTAGATCTCCCTACTTTCTCAAAATACTGACATATTTCAATATATGCTTGTTTGAAATGTATTTTTAACTTAAAATATGGAAGAATACTTCCAGAACCAGCGCTGATGAAAAAGTGGGCGGCCACTAATGCACACTATAGCGGCTAATGAATCTGAAGTCTCGCACATTCACAAAAATAGCTTACTTCTGTATCTGTTTTTTTTAACCCTGTGTGTGTGTGTGTGTTTCAGATGGGAGAGTGTATAAAGGTGTAGTTGTGGCTCCTCATGTGCCGAGGACTGAAGGTGGGCTGTACTGGGGATACAGCGTCCGATTGGCTTCCTGTCTCAGTGAGTACTTCACATTTATTCATTTATTTTATTCTTAATTCTCCAGCAGGTGCTAAAGTGTGTTTGTGTTTGCGTAGGCGCTGTGTTCACCGAGTGTCCGTATAAAGATGGATATGATCTGACCATTGGCACATCAGAGAAAGGAAACAACGCAGATCACGTATCTCTATCTCCATTCAAGTGAGTTTTGCGCGGGTTTCTGCCTGAGTCTTATTTTATGGCTGATGAATGTATCTGAAAGTGTCACTGGGATGTTTGCTTTTACCTATTTTTAACTTATTCTAAACCTAAAGTAATTTTGACAAACTGTATAGTTTGAAAGCTTTCAGACTCCAGGTTTCATATTTGGTCACTGTTTTCCGATAGACATGATATAGCAAAAGTAAACTATTCATGTGCAACAAGATTACTCATCAGCGTCACAAGTCGAGTTCGGGCATTTATTTTGAAATATACAGTCATGAAAGATCGGTAGAAACCTTGGTTAGGTTTTATCGGGAAAAAAAAAATATATAGTGGGGAATTAATTCCCTTTGTTTTATTAAAGGGATACTCCACTTTTTTTTGGAAATAGGCTCATTTTACCACTCCCCCAGAGTTAAACAGTTGAGTTTTAACGTTTTCAAATCCATTCACCCGATTTTCTGATATTGAGAAGAATATCAGTAAGCAGACAGTTTCTGGTCTTATTGACTTCCATAGTAGGAAAAAAATATACTATGGAAGTCAATGAGACCAGAAACTGTCTGGTTACTGATATTCTTCTAAATATCAAAAAATCGGCTGAATACATTCGAAAACGGTAAAAGCCAACTGTTTAACTCTGGGGGAGCAGTAAAATGAGCCTATATTCGAAAAAAATGGAGTATCCCTTTAATTTTCGTAATTCATGGCCACGATTTTAATCAAACAAGGGAATGAATTAGTAAATTGTGGCCATGAATTAAGTTTTTGAACAATGTTCCCTCGTTTTGCTAAATCATGGCTACGCTGTAATAATTAGTTTTTCGCTTAAGTTCAATTAAAACAAGGGAACTAATTAGTTAAACATGGGCATGAATCATGGCCTCGCTGTTATAATTTGTTCCCTTGTTTTATTTTAATCTAAATGAGGGATTGAATTATTACAACGTTACGTGACGACAATTAACAAATTAATAAATCATGGGAATGAATTCTTAATTTGTGGCCACAATTTAGCTTAACCCCGGGAACAAATGTGTAAATCACGCCCACAATTTAATAAAATGAGGGAATAAATTCTTAATTTGTGGCTATGATATTTATGTTTTGTCTGCGTGTCGTGCAGGGCTCTGTACGTTTTCATGATAAGTGTTCAAAAGATAACATTCAGGTTTGAAATATAAAGAAATATGTTATATTTTCCATGTGTGATGCATCATGTCTTGTGCATGACTTGTAATGCAAATCCAGGTTATTTTTTGCATTGGCTTTTAATGTGTTTGAGGTTGCAAATACTACCCTACTGCCTATAATACTTCTGAATATGATGTCTACTTCTTAAACAGTGTGAATTGTATATAATTATATATATCATTTCACTACAATCATGCGAGACGTATGTGCATCTTTATATGGATCATCACTGAGCTTGTAGGACTAGTGGAAGTTTTGTACTACGCCATAAGAGAATCTTACTAAAAGCTCATATTTTGAGATATCAACCTCAAATTTGGAAAACAGTTTGTTTAGATTTATGGTTTTGATTTTTTTCTAGCAGTTTTAGCATAAAACATGTTTAGTAAATTGTGTACGTTTTTTCACTTCAATAATCTGCCATGTCTACTTTAAGAGACTAAACTTCGGCCTCTTTTATCTCTAATTAAATTGCAATTTAATTTGTATATGTGGTTTTCTGGTTAAAAAAGTTGGACTGACAGTTAACAGGTTTAAATATGCTGTGTTTTAATTGGCTGAGAAATGAAACTCGACTTTGTTCTCTGTCAGGCACATGCTGGTGGTGTTCGGTGGTCTTCAGGGGTTGGAGGCCAGCGTTGATGCCGATGAGAATCTGAGCGTCACTGAACCCAGCGTGCTCTTTGACCTTTACCTCAACACCTGTCCTGGCCAGGGCAGTCGCACCATCCGCACCGAGGTGACAGAAAAATACATGTTTCATTTAACCTTTAATGTAATACTGACGGGGTTTCATGTAGGGATGCTCATTTTTGCTCCGACAACCGCCACTCGTTTTCTCGAGTATTAACCATTAACTGATAAGATTATGATAGCCTAAAAATAAAATTGACGAGTGTCTTTGACCCATTAAAATTACTAAAAAATTTTCACAGGTTTATTTTAACGTGCAAACAGCAGGACAGATCACAGGGCTCCAGACTAACTTTTCCACTGGTTGAACTATTTGATTTGGTCCCACTTTTTTTTTTCTTTTTTTTTGGCTACATGCCATTGGATTAATCAATGCATGCATGCTGATGAATAGTAGTTTTAAATGACCAAAGCTAGCAAAGGCTTTCTGGGTTGCAGCATAGATACCTGTAATATATAATATACAAATTTCAGGATTTTCATGGATTTTGGACAGTAAATTTAATTAATTTACAATCTATCTATTTACATTTGAATCATAATCTACTGTATCCTCTCTATCTATCTATCTATCTATCTATCTATCTATCTATCTATCTATCTATCTATCTATCTATCTATCTATCTGTCTGTCTGTCTGTCTGTCTGTCTGTCTTTCTGTCTATGTATCTGTCTATGTATCTGTCTATCTATCTGTCTGTCTGTGTGTCGGTTGGTCGGTCTATCTATTTATTATCTCTTCTTTCTATCAGCATCACCTTTCTATCTTTTAAAAACCATTAAACATTCAAATGCATACATTACATTTTAAAAGATTAGAGTATTATAATAAGCTAATACAGATTTTTCGTTATCAAAGTTTATAGTTGTAAACAAAATGTCACACTCCTTACCTTCTGCATTTTATAATAATTTCCTTTTCCTCAGTCGAGCGATTACTCTCATCTAACCGCTGAAAAGACGTATGAAGGGGCACGTTCTCATGTTTTGTGAGACATTTCAGTTTTATATGCCTTCATTTATGAATTCGTAATTGGCGCGTTCCATCATCAGAGTGCAATGTGCGTGATGTCTACGTTCGTCAATAAATAAACTGCACGTGTCTTGCGGAAGAACACTGTAGCCGGAGCTACTTCTCTCCATTAATGTCTATGGCGAGTCACGCAGGCACTGGGCAACTCGGCATCCGAGTCGACCCCGGGATAAAATAGTCCGAATATAAACACTTATTATAGGCGTACCGTAATGATTCAGGATAAGTCAAAAACACGGTTTGGAATGTAGCCTACTCGTTCATTTTGAACATAAGTTACGGACTGCAGAAGCTGATACAACGGCGTTCTGTTGCGCGAGCGTCCACTCGCACATATGCGACCACATGAAATTTTAACTCGCACATTCTCAAAAAATGGTCGCAGTCTGGAACCCTGGATCAACAACAGAACCTGGATTCACATCAAATTTTCACACACTTGACAGTGACAACGGAGAAAAACAGAATAAAATAAAAACATAAAATAGGCCTACACTAAATATTTTTTTAACTTAAAGGTGCTATATGTAACTTTTCTTCTAAAAGGAATCCTTTTTTATTGCCTGTGTGTGAAGGGGTTGTAATCACACATTACAATGATCCACTTGTTGGGTTTTGCTATTACCTCTGAAGGCCAGTATTCCTTTCTATGTGAAGTCTCTGGGTCGGATTTTCTGCGAAATCCATCGGATGTGACGTGCATGCACACTCCTGAGCCTCTCTCCTTTTTATATACAGTCTATGCGACGGCACTGCAGTGAACGACATGAGTCTGATAACACCAAAACACTCCTGTGTAAGGACTCAGTTCAAGCTATATTCAATAATTTGTTGATCAGAGATTAATAACTGTTGAATATTTTTCCCCGAAATTCAAATTGAGCTATAAGCCTTAAAGGAGCTGTATGTAAGATTGTGGCCAAAACTGGTACTGCAATCAGTTTCAAACTACTGTAGAGCGGTGTATCCCCTCCCTCCCCCCTGACTCGAGGTTGCCAGATAAGATGCAGGATCCAACATTTTTTAACTAGAGCAGAGCTGGCAACCCGAATGCTGCAACACTACTGACTTCATGATTGGTAGATCGGTGGAGGGTGGAGCATCAGACCAAAACACAACATGACAGTTGAGGGCTGCAACTTCACTTTTTAAATGACAATATCCTGGCCAGACTACTGTTGTCAGTGATATACCGTATTTTCCGGACTATAAGTCGCTCCGGAGTATAAGTCGCATAAGCCCAAAAATGCGTCATGATGAGGAAAAAAAAAACATATATAAGTCGCACTGGACTATAAGTCACATTTATTTAGAAATTTATTTAACAAAATCCAAGACCAAGAAAAAGTTATTTAAACAGACTTTAATTCATTAAAACAGAAGGCATTTAAGTTATTCAGCTACACACAATAGCACAAAGAACAACAGGCTGAATATGTGTCCGGTATGTTGTTAACGTAACACATCAACAGTTAGCTACACAAGAATAGCATAAAGAACATACCTGAGAGGCTGAATAGGATAAAATAACAAAACAAGACAGCGAATCCAACAGTTATCGGTAAAGCAATTTCACCAAGCTCCCGCGATCTTATTCCATATCACTGAACCCCTTGAATTCTTTATCCTCCGTGTCGCTTCTGAACAACTCCGCTATTTCCGGAGGAAGATGAAGTGCCGTCTCCTCTTCTGCGGGGCTGTCGTCAGACTCGACATCAGTTCCGGTTATTCCAGCCTTTCTGAATCCCGACAGGATGGTTTCGGTTGTCACTGCAGTCCATGCAGTGTCGACCCATCCAAGGACTTGCTGGAAAGTTGCATGGCGCATCCTCCCGGTTGCCGTAAAGCTAATTTTCTGTTACTTTTTTCAGCGGTAAAACTACCGTAGCTGTAGTCTAGAGCGCATAGAGCGCTCTCTCGTGGCTGTAGACGGTAATGTCACCCCCAATTTCGGCAAATGATGCATTCACGTCATACCACAAATACATCAAAAACTCGCAAATAATAATCTGGGGCCGTCAGCGATCCTGTGACGAGTAAATCTTGGTAATTTTGATATATAAGTCGCAGGACCAGCCAAGGTATGAAAAAAAGTGCGACTTATAGTCCGGAAAATACGGTAAGTATTTGAAATGAACATGATTTCTTAATGTCTAGTGACATATCAGGGCCATTTTATGATTATTTGAAATAAATTTCTTACATACAGCTCCTTTAAGCCGAGATTCTTTACAGTTACCTCAAGTTTAATTCGTCTGATTAACTGACCTGTGTGAGTATTATTCAGCACTTGCGTGTAGTTCGGTAGAATGAAATGTCCTCATTCCTTTATGTCCGCGGGACTCATGTTGCGTGTAGCGCTGGTTTACGTCTAGCAATCGCGCCCTGCCTCATTCTAGTCATGTAGTCGCTTAATGCGGAATATACGTCATTAATATTCGCCTTTGTTATTGTAAGAGGTTAGCGACCCCTGGTGGCAAAAAATCCTGCATATTGTACCTTTATAACTGATAGTATTAATCAGTCAAATTTTTTCTTTTGGTTAATGGTTAAATGGTCAATATGAGCAACCCTGCATTAGATGAGAGACTTTTTTCTTTATTTCTTTAAAAAAAGGACACTGTACCTGAGATATATCCAAATGAATCAAATTAAATCAAGACATTTGTGTCAATACCCAGCCGCATTTCCCCCCTAGAAACGTTCATGTTTTCTTTCTCGTTTAACTGCTGCAGTACATTAAATATTGTCTTTCTTGCAGGAGGCCCTATTGATCAGTTTATCAGGACTCAGGGAGAAAATCGCAGCTGTATTACCTGACCTGTCCAAAAGATGACCACAGGAAGTACTTTTGAAGGACTATGGGAAGTAGAACAAGTTGAGCAGACCAAGTGTGCACTCAAATCTAAAATCTTGGATCTCTTATGAATTTAAAGTGTATACAGCTTTTGCATTCTTTATCAATGTACATTCTGTGAATCTTTTTGTATCGACTCTATTAGTTTGTATCAGTGAATTGTCATGAATATTGTTCAGAAACAAATCATGAGACTCAAGAATCTGCTTCAAAGGTATACGTTTATTTTTTTAAGACAGGCATGTAAAGAACATTCATAATGAGTGAAGAGCAAAACAATCAGCCCATACTGTCATAATACTGCAACCATGAGTAATAATCATCATTATCATAATAATAGTACATAGTGATTTCAGTCTGAAACCCTGTGCAAATCAATTAATCTCAATAGATTACCCACAATCCCCCTGCTCTTGTCATTGTGCAGAAGGTTGATTTTCAAGAACGTAATCGTTGAATAGCAAATAAATACTCTGAAGGTTTCAACGTTACAGGTGATAATCGAGATCTTTCAGGCAGGACGTGTAAATGAAACGTTACGTTTGGGATGTTTACGTCATTCAAAGCTTTGAGTTCTTCTCATGCTTGTTGAATTTTTTTTACACTTGATTATTTATTTTAGGTGTCATTGGAGATGCAAGATCAACTTAATGCGGTTTTGTTATTTATCAGCAGATCAGCTGTTATTTATGGGTCTCGTACAAATCGAAGGCAAGACATTCAAAGCAGCACATTAGTTACCCGAACTACCACTTCCTGTTACCAACTTGAGTTCTCCAATGAAAGCGCAGTGCCAGAAAAGGCATCCTCCAATGAGGGCTGAGCATTTACAACAGTCATGAACATATTTAGAAATAAAGCGATTCAGTCATAATGTCATATTTAAATGTGTGTGTGTGTGTACACTAACAGCTGTAGCCGGAAACACTCAAATTGTACAACTGATCAATAACTTCAGAACTACTTCTGGGTCAAAATAAATCGAAAGGCCTTTACACACACTACTGACACACTTTCAACGCAACAGTATTGTGTGTGATTGTTGGTGTTGATGAATATAATATAATAATCTTTTTGGTTGAACTTCACAAAGATATGTCCAGGTCATATTTCACCCACAATCAAAATCATTGTTAAAAATATATTTTACATGAAGCCAATTTTAGGTCCAGTAAGATGTTAGTAGATGTATATTTAGCTCAGTATTTAAAAAACACACAAATATGACATCATGTACACATACTGTTAAATTAAAATCAATTTCCATGTTTTGTAATGAGAACTGGGTCAATGATCATAAAATGCAAAACATATGAATGCTACTAGATACTGTAGGCCTGTAAAACAAAGATTTTGTGGCAAAAAATTACCCTGACAAGTTCTTGTAGTCGATGTTTTAATGAAGCTCGACTCTGATTGACATTTGGTCAGTTTTCAAATGACTTAAAGGAGTAGTTCACTTTTAAAACAACTTTTGCTGATAATTTACTCACCCCCATGTCATCCAAGATGTCCATATCTTTCTTTCTTCAGTCGAAAAGAAATTAAGGTTTTTGATGAAAACATTCCAGGATGTTTCTCCATATAATGGACTTCAATGGGAACCAAACGGTTCAAGGTCCAAAAGACAGTTTCAGTGCAAAATGTTCGAAGGGCTTTAAACGATTTCAGACAATGAAAAAGGGTCTTATCAAGCAAAACGATTGCTTATTTAAAAACAAAAAAAGCTTTATAAGCTCAAATGCTCGCCTTGCTCTGTTCTGTGATCAAATTGAACAATTTTTTTCTCGGAAAAAGATTTGTTCATTTTGATGAACGAGTTCGAACAGGAGAGTCACAAACGCGCATCTCAGAACAGAGAAAAAACTTTGTTTTTTTTAATGACTGATCGTTTCGCTTGATAAGACCCTTATTGATCGTCTAGAATCGTTTAAAGCGCTTTGAACAGTTTGCACTGAAACTGTCTTTTGGACCATGAACCATTTGGTTCCCATTGAAGTGCATTATATGGAGAAAAATCCTGGAATTTTTTCATCAAAAACCTTAATTTCTTTTCGACTGACGAAAGAAAGACATGGACATCTTGGATGACATGGGAGTGAATAAATTATCAGCAAAAGTTTTTTTAAAAGTGAACTACTCCTTTAAGACCCATTCATAACAAATATAATAACTATAGTGATAACCATAAAGATGTAGTTCTAAAAATCATTCGAAGTGTTAAAGAATAGCAGAGTCCACACATCACAACTCACGATAACGCCACAGAGAAACAATATCGTTTGAATCACATTCAGAACAATTTTGTCCAGCTGGTGAATAATAAAAATGTTGCCAGCCAATCAGAATCCATCCTGCTTTAAAGAGCTTGAGCTCTTTCGTTGTGTTGGATATAAACACAACAAAATCATCCGCTGATGTGGACGCCAATATAGTTATCGTTCTCAGAAATAAAGGGATAAATAACTTTCATTCCAATAGCTTCCCAAAACAATACACAAGATGTGGTGTTTATCTGAAAATAATGTGATTTAAAACGACCCTTTACCTGGTTGTTGAAAAAGTGTGTTTTTTTCTATAGTTTATTGTAATATTGTTTTGTTTAGGGCATTTTAAAACCATATAAACATGTAAAAATATTTTTTGTTTGTTTTGGAATAATTTACATAGTTCTTATTTACAAAATAAAACAATCTTGTAAAGTTGTTTCAATTCTCATTCCTATTCTCTTGACATTTTCACATGACTAACATTCAAATGTGTTGATTGTACCACGAGATGTGATTGAATCTTCCATTTGGCAACCGACACAAAGGATTTGCTCTTTCTTGTCCCAAAAGGCCTCAATTCTCTGAGAAATGATTGATTATGGGTGATAAACTGTATAAGAGAAGGCAGTAATATGTAGATGTTTTGGAAAAACTCATGCTCAAGACAATAAAGTTCCATCATCTGTTCATTTTCCGAAGAAAAACAAAGATTGTCCGCCCTTTGCTTGTTCCTGGATCCCTGAATGGCCTCCATTTTGGCTCAGTCACTAATCCAAATCAAAGAGAAACCAGCAGCCATCCTGGATAAGTTTCTGAGCAGGCAATGCATTCGAAATGGCAGCCATTTTGGATCAGAAGGTCACACAGTTACAAAAGCCGCCATGTTGGATCCAACTCACCAGGTGGAATACGTTGGATTGTTAAGTTGCTCACCACGTTGGGTGGGCGTAGCTAATGTTGTACTGCTTGGCCCAGCGTGCGAACACCTGTTTCTCAGTGATGAAGCGATGGTGTGATCCACGGCGCCCCCTCTCGTTCTGCAGGTACGTTACACACTCGTCTGGACCTCGGGGTTTATAATAGTGATAGGGCATTCGTTTGGGCTGAGGGCGTCTCCTACAAGGAAGACAATTCAGGAGAATATATTTAATTGATTTATTCTTAGATCATTTGTTTTGCATTTATAGAAAGCAACGGTGCCCGCCCACTTTTTCATAAGCCAATCAGCTACGAGGTGAACCACAACATTACAAACTTTGATTTGAAGAAAAAATAAGGGGAAAACTGTGGACATTAGTGAGGGAAAGCATTACAAAACCGATGAGAAATATAAAATTACTTTTTTGTAGTTTAAAAGTTTGACAAAATATGCATATATATTTTAAAATATTTAAGTATTTTGAGAGCATAGGAAGACCGGATTGATTTAGTAATTCGCAGTGCTTCATGGGAGTGGGCGGAGCTAAAGAGATATTCTGGTGCGTTTAGCTTGTTTTGACTCGGATTGGTGGAATTTTCTGTACAGCATCATGGGTAATACAGTTTATCATCATAGATTTGACTTTTAAACATGATTATTTAAAAAATAATTTAGCTCACAGTAGGGCTGTCTCTATACAGTAGGTTTATAAGTTATCGTTATACGTTCAACTGTTGCGCTCTATTGAGATAGGACAGGATCCAGTATTCCCAGACAGGAAGTGAAGTGGGAGAGCGCAGGACAGGATCGAGAAAGGTTCCCGAGCCGGGACTTAAACTCAAGTCACCCAAAGTGCAACTGCGCTACATAATAAAGTGCCGCCCATGAGGCCATCGGAATAAGTATTGAAATGAAGTATTTGGAAATTAAGTATTTTTCACAATGATACAGTGAAATTTATTCTTTTCCAATTCAACACCGGCGTGAAACTTTTATCTTACCCACAATGGTTTGGCGGCACCATCCCATAAACCTTTATGTTATCACACATCTCTATGGCAATCACCATGGTAAACCAGCCTGTGCTTAACCAGGACTGAGACTTTTTTCTGTGAAAACAGGAAACAATAACAAACACTGGAAAATATAGCCATCAAAACAATACTCAACCAATGCAACATAGAACAAAACAGGTCTAACAAACATGTGGAATGAATATTGTGATGTTTGGATATCAAAATATATGGAAAAAAATGGGTAGCACTTTACTTGAAGGGGTGTGCATAAGGCTGACACGAAACCTTCATAATCATGACTCAATCATGATGAATTTGAAGGAGGGTTGATGCATGTTTATGACAACTGTCATCAAGAGTCATTCGCTCAATTATGACATTTTGAATGCAAATATGACATTGTTTAAAATGTGTTTGTTTGACCTGCCATCATAACCTGCCATCTCAAACATTGTCAGATTTGCATTAAAAATGTCATAATTGAACAATGACACTTAATGATAGTTGTCATAAACATGCATGAACCCTACTTCATATTCATGACATGATTATGAAGGTGTCATGATAGTCTCATGCACACCCCTTTAAGTAAAGTGCTACCGAAAAAAGTATAATATTTTCAGCCATATTTCTCAGCCCTAAAACAAATGTTACGATTGTAATAATTACATTAAAACAATGAAATAAAACACTGAAAATAAATAAGTGAAGATGTTAAAAGCGCAGTGGACATCTGGAGCTGAAGGTGTTTACCTGTCTCTGCCGGTCTCTTTCTGAAAGAGCGTGTCAAACTTCTGCATTTTGCTTGGTGAGATGACGAAGAACGACAAGTTCCTGTAGGTCATGCTGACTCTCTGGATTAGCCGGAACAGAGTTCCCTTTGCGTCGCGTCCGATCTTTGTCGAAGGGCCCCAGAATATGATGGCAGGGCTGTCTGAGCGGTTGAGGAACTCCCCGGGTTTGCGGACGACCCGGAACACGCTGGAATGAGCCACGACACGCACACTTGTCCGGTTCCCCACGTCTGATGCGTACCCGGAGGTGGGAGCGTCGTTCATACGGATAACACACTCCGTGCGGTCGATCTCGACTCCGGCGTGAGTCCCCAACATGTGACTTGAGCTGGTCACTAATGCACAGTAATGGCAGCGCAGGATCATGCTCTGAAACAACAGGTCACCACACTGAGCAACTTAGATTTCATCACATATGCCATTTTTCAAATAAATTTAATTATGCAAAAAAAAAAAATAAAAAAAAAATATATATATATATATATAAAATACATTTTTCATTCACCCAAAATGTGTTTTAAGATTAGAAAATATATACAAATGGTAAAAAAAAAATCCATACAGCAAAAATATATATTTAAAAATATACAAAAATGCTAAAATATATGTTAAAATATATATATATAAATTGTTTCAATATTTACTAACTTATATTTACTCATATATTTTTGTCCATTTTTAAAAATACATTTTCAATGTAAACTATATTCTGCAAAATAACTATATTTTGCAATTCACCCAAAATGATATTTTAGATTAGAAAATATAGATCTAGATACAATGTAGATACATCTATTAGCAAATATAGATGTTAAAATGCAAATATAGATGTTATATTTACTTATAAAAAAATATGCCTCCATTTATGTTAAAACATTTAAAAAAAATTGTATTTTAAATGTATAACAATTTTAAAGTATATAGATATAAATATATTTTTAGAAAAATGTTTTAATAATTTTAGTTATATTTCCTTATATATTTAAAATGTAAATATATTTATAGTGTCCAATATATATATATATATATATATATATATATATAGAAATACATGTCTCACCCAAAATGCTATAAATGCCACAAAAAAATCACCAAAAATCCAAAAAACGATATATATATATATATATATATATATATATATATATGTCAAAATATAAAAAAACACTAATCTAGAAGTTAAAATATATTTATATAAAATGTTTCAATAATTTTACTTAAATATTCCATATATATGTATTTATTTAAATATATTTTCAATGTTTTAATATTAAAATAAAAATACTAATATAATTGTATATGCTAATATAAAAAATGTGGCACTTGAAGATTTAAGGTTTTTAAAGGTTTTAAAAAAAACACATATAATGGTTGCGGTAACGCTTGCTTTTACAGTACAGTAGAGGTAAGTACATGAGTTAGGGATACGTTAAGGGTTAGTACCTAGTTATTACCCAGTAATTGTAATTCCTATAATAAGAACATGGTATGTACATGGGGAACAGGACTGTAAAAGGAAGCGTTACCATGTTTTGCCTTTGACTCGTAAGAGTTGATCACCTTGTTGCCGTAAACAGGAAGGTATCCCTCCTTCCCTGCCCATTTCTTGAGGTTGGTGTTTTTGACCGCGTGGTGAATCTCGCTGACTTTAAAGGAGCTGTTCAGATCAGCTGAGCTGTTTGAGCTATAGAGGATAAGGAGGGTCGTGATGAGGAAGACCGTCCCATAAATCACCATCCGCTGCCCCTGCTGCCATTGCTGAGTAAAACACAAACTCTACATTATCAGACAGTTATCCATATGTGCATGTAATGATCCTTAAACTGAAACTAAATACGTAGGAGTTTCATAATGATTACTGAAATATATATTACCATTTAAAAGTTTGAAATAATTAAAAAATATATACCTGTATGTTTCTGAAAAAGGTCTCACCAAGGCTACATTTATTTGATCATAATTACAGTAAAAACATTAATATTGTTAAATATTATTACAGTATAAAAGAACAGTTTTTATTTTATTATATTTTATATATATTTATTTATTTTATAATATATATTTTATATTATTCCTTTCAAAAACATTTTTACAAAAAATTCAATTATTCCAAACTTTTGCCCAGTTATGTACATTAATTTAAATAATTGTAAAATACATTTTTTGGGGGATTTTTTCTACTCACTTTATCTACAAGCCGCAGTTTCATTCTCCTTCTTCCCTTCTATCAGGTTTCAGTTTTCATGCCTAAAGAGAGAAAGAGAAACCTGATCAGTTTTCTGCATGTTACACCTGTATGTAAACAATATACCAACAATATACAGAAATAACATGCAGCACTGATGCATAATAACCCATTTCCCTAACGACTGACACAAGCCATGATCATTTATGAAAATATGAACCAAAAGCAAATAAAGAAACAGCTTGTCCAGAGAATCACAATATTAAAACAATGTATTGTTTAGTCTGTCAGGACACACACACACATTCAGTTACGTATATGAACCTGACACCTTTAAAACTGACCTGTTCATTTAAATATGGATAAGATTATAATGGTGAGTGAGAGATAAGTAAACATCCAATGTTTTGATGTGAACAGCATAATGCAACAAATATTTTCAAACCTGTCATATCTCCAGGGCCTCTGTAAAGGCCATTCACACCACATATAGGTACCGAATTACAGTATTTCAATCAAAATGATTTTTATGCATCCATTGATAAAACACACATCATAATAAAGCGGTGTCCGCCAGTGATGCTGGAGCGCGCGAGCCCATCTGATCCTCAGGATAACGCGTCTGACCTGCAGAATACACCGATTCACGGCTCGTCGCCCCCGTGTTTGCTCATAGAAAGTCAACGGTGGCGGTTGAACGCGATTCTTACCGACGCGTCGCGGTTTTATTCTGGATGTTGTTGTATCCGCGCATCATCATCATCATTCATCAGTTCTTCCGATGGCTCATTATAATTCGTCGAGGGAGGGAGCATGTGCGCATGCGCCGCACCTCTCGTTTACCTTCCCGAAGACGCGACGCGAACGCTTATAACGTCAGCACCAAATCGACCAATCAAAACGCTCCCACACGCTCGCTTTTTGTTGAATGATGGATGATGTATAACCTCTTACCCCGTTTTCCACTGTTTTCCTATATTTTGTGAAAAATATTATTCAGTTTATGTTAGAATGTATATATTATAAAAATAACATAATTGTATCAAGTAACAGGTTATACAATTAATTTCTTGAACAATTTTAAAAACAATAATTCATAAATTAAAAGCAAAATAAATAAAGCAAAACAAACCACATGCACATTAGATCAGGATTCTTGGTTTAATAAATGCAAATATCAGATATATATCAAGATCTCAAGTGTCCTTGAGGTCAACGAAGGACCAGCTGAATCACGTATTTATAATCTCTTAAATGTAAAAACTTTATTATTTTTAAACAAAGTCATTTTAGATGTTTACTTGAAGCACATAACTCATATTAGGCTATATGCATTAAATAAATACAGTATAAAAAGATAACAAAATGGAAAACACACAGCAAACTGAATATCATCTTATGAGATGAATTCATTACACCACCTTGTTATATATTCATTTAAAACCATACATTCCCTCCGGTTAATATACAGTATGTAATAGATAAACATTGATAAGACAGTCTGCACAGAACACATGCATGCAATATTAGAATATTGAAGATAGTACCATGTGGATCAGTAGTAACATTTTGCACATTTTTCAACTTGGACAGAATACAAAAATAAACTTATATAATCATAAAAGCATGGTAACATTTTCTTTCAGCTTTACTGAAAATTCTTAAGTAAAAATAGAGATGAAACCTCTTGGGTTTGGCTGTGATTGTGGCAAATGATAAAATAGTGGAAATAATTTGCAGACAGTATTTATGCACACAGATATGAACATAACTGTTACATGATGTTCAGGACAAAACCCATATTTTAACACACACAAACACACACACACACACACACACACACACACGATAATAATAATAAAGTGCAATGAAAGCAAGAGTTAGGATGAAAGCTGGGGAATAAAAATAAGTAAATGACTTTAGAACAATGGCAGCATCATTATTTTAATTTTACACAGAGATTGGCAGGTCTATTCGTAAAAAACGTTGACTTTAGCAATCTTTGCTTCATTATATGCCACCGATGACTGTTCAGAAACAGGGAAAAGCATTTATTCAGTTTTTCCCCTGAGGTTTGCGTGCCTCTAACTCTAGAAGTATTAAAGATAACTTAATATCTTTTTAGATTCTAGTAAACTTTTCTTTAGGTCTCTTCATTTTTAATGACCAATATGGTTCATTTCTATGAGATATTGAGATCTCAATATGTCTCTATGATACAATTGTTAAATTATACCACTTTTCAGGGGTCAAAAACCAAACGTGGGTCACTTTTCATACAGCTGATACTTTTTTCTTTTAAAGAGGAATGTCTAGAACATATTATTTTGAAAATAGAAATTTGTCTTGTTTTCCTTTATCAAAACAATTGGATAGAACATACCGATCTGAGTCACAAAAATAATGGTGGGAACTCAAAAAGTATTAAAGATACCTCAAAATTCTTTTCAATTTAAACTTATTCTTGGAGCCATATTGAGATCCCAAAATCTTAATATTTTATAGGAATTAAACCATATAAAGATTTCAAAATTAAAGATACCAGTTGCAAAGTATGCAAACTTAGGGAAAAAATGTGAAAACTGGCTTTTAACCGATTTTTGAACAGTCACCGTTGGCATATAATGGAACAAAGATTGCTAAAGTCAACAGATTTTACTAATAGACCTGCCAATCTCTGTGTAAATCTAAAATAATGACGCTGCCGTCCTTCTAAAATCATTTTACCCCCTTGTAATTTGGCTCCAAATCTCATTTTGACCGTGCTCTACTTGGTTGATTTGACACAAAATGAACCTTTTGTTGATGTGATTGAAAATGTGTTCTTAAAAACATTGTTTTGCTAAGAAATATGAGTAAATCACAGTGTTGATAATAACAACATTGGTGCCAGTGTTGTGCAAGACTCTTACATTTATAAATGACTGGATTTAGTAATCTCTTACTACTGCTAATTGAGCTTTAGTTTACAGCAGAACAATGCATGGATTCAGACATGATTCTGCAAATATGATAAATAGTACAGATCTCTTGTTTTCACTGGAAAGAAAGAGATTTCAATTATTTTTGTTTGATAGAAGAGAAAAATATGTGAAGTAAATGTCATTTGACTGCCATCATCTCTAATCCTGAATTCAGATCCTGATCCAGTTCAGTTTACCAGAGATCAGACTAACATAAAATAAAAAAAAATAAAAAAAAAGACACTCTCAATATGATATTGAAATGCAAAAGGCTCATTATTAAGCTTGAAACTAAAGAAATAAAACTGTACCATATAAAACAAAGCCAGAGCATTTAAAAGCCAAACTGATTTACACACTAAACTAAAGGCACCACAGTGGTTTCTGAAACGAGCACAAACTTGCATCGCGAGGAGAAACGATTGCTGAAGACTGACCTACATCTTTCGGTTGACACCAAACCACAGATTGTTGTTGATGTTACTATGGTGACCAGGGTGGGTAAACGAAGCGCAGTTTCCCCTGAGACGCCCAGCGTCTGTAAATGAGTTTCTCCGTGATGAAGCGATGGCCGCCCCTCTTGGCGTGTTCATGAGAGCGGTACATGCGGCACTCGCCCACACGGGACGGCTCGTAGTAGTGGTATGGCACGAACGAGTGGTTGGCGAGACTATAATCAAGCCATAGCAGAGAAGTTAGTGGACTGTATTATGGTGAGAAAAAAAAGAGACCTTCACGAATGCAGGAAAGCTTAGAAATGTTGCTGAAATGGTCCTATTAAAGCCCGGTGGCAATCAGTAAGATTGTGAAATTTGATTACAATTTAAAATAGCTGTTTCCTATGTGAATATATTTTAAAATGTCATTTATTCCTGTGATCAAAGCTGAATTTTCAGCATCATTACACCAGTCTTCAGTGTCACGTTAATTTTTTTAATATTATTGTTTTTTTCATAATAATTGATAAATTTTATATAATTGCACCTATTTATATACAATATGTATATATAATAATTGATTAATTTAATTCACTTCAAAATATGAACCTGTCACATAATATATTGGACTATAAAAACAGATAAATACAAAGTTAATTGTAGATTCTACAGTACATTAATTCAGTAAATTGTTTTCTGTATAGGTGAGGAAGTTGTATGTGACAAAACATACATAATAAATTACATTAATCTGATCATTATTTTATTATTTTTAAATAATAGTGCCTTTATACTGTATGTATATAATACACTTAATAATTTAATTTACATTCACTATAAATCTATTGATTATATAATATACTGAGCTTTAAATACACACTTGTAAAAAAATGTACAAAAAATCCATTAATTCTTTAAATTGGTTTCTGTACAGGTAAGATGGATTTGTATATATATATATATATATATATATATATGTCAGATTTAGAATTAAATGACTTTAACACATTATTTTAAAGTGACATAAAACATGTTGCTACTTGTATATAATAACTAAACCAAACCCTATCCATAACTTTATAGTAAGTACATGTAGTTAATTATTAACTGAAATGACCTTAGCTATTGATCTTTTATTTTAATTTAGTTGATTTTCCTAACAATGAAACTCAAACAACTGAACTCACCTGCAGTAAGAGCCGTCAATCATTCCATAAACCAGAACACTGTCACACACCTCGAGAGCCAAAATCATGGTAAAAAACCCTGTACTGAGAAAGGCCCCCGATTTCATCCTGAGAGAGACAAAGAGATCACAGTATTTAATAAAATGGTAATCCGATTACTTTCTCACATGATATAATAGGGGGGGAAACTTACCTGTTTTTGCCCGTTTCGTTTTGAAACACGGCGTCACAGTCCTGAACCTTTTCTTTGGTGACGGTGTAGATGTGTGTGTGTGGATGCTTCTTGGCCAGCCTCACTAATGCATTGAAGACTTTTCCCTTTCCATCCTGCCTCATGTTCTTCTCAGGGCCCCAAACGACGTATCTAGTGTCCGCCTCTCGCCCAAAGAAATATCCCTGCTGGCGTAGCAGGTGTGGCACGCTGGTGTGGGAGACGACACGCAGACTGGTCCTGTTCCCCACATCAGCCTCGTAGCCCACGGTGGGCGCTGCGTTCATCCGGATCACACAGTCCTGCTGGTCGACCTCTTGACCCCGTCCACCGCCTAGCATCTGCCCAGAACTGGACACCACGGCACAGCGGCCGCAGTGGAAGTCCAGCAACTGAAGGTGGATTTAGAGTGTTAAAAATTGCATTATATGAGCAAAAGCATGTGTATAGTTCGTTTTTAGCCGAATTGAAACGGCTCAAAGGTGGAAGTTGAACGCAACTTACATATGAAGGTGAGCGAGTGTTGGGATGAATCCTCACGTAACCACGCAGACCTGTCTTCATGGCAAACCCAGTCCTCATCACATGATGATACCATAGCAGCAGACACACCGAGAGGAGGATGAGGCAGAGCCAATGAAACCTCTGAAGGATGAAGAGACACGTGAGCTTCATCCGGACAGAGTCAATAATAAACTATTTTCTGACGCATTTCCCAGTCATACTGTGGGATATGAAAGCAATACCATGGATTTCATTTCCTATTGAGGCTGAAGCTCCAACCCTGGTGCTCAACTGTGGAAGAAGCACTCATTGTCCTGAGAAAATATGGAAGAAAAATGACTCTAATACAATCAATAATTCAATTTCAATGGCAGTATGCTCAGTACTGTAATAACTTAATGAAATCAATAACCTACTGTAACGTTAATATATCTACTGTAAGAAATATGCTGACATCATGATAAACATCACAGCCGAACGGCAAATATACAGACACCAATAATCACATGCAGCCACTTATATAATGGTTTTATGTGCCTTAAATGTAGTCGGTAATCAAAATATATAGAGGTAGAGGTTGAAAACAATAATTAAACACATAATTAGCTGAAACATTAGCCTTCTCACATTCTTCCTCGGCACGCTGATATTTTCGTTCCCACCTGGAAACGCTGCTGTTATTTAGTTCCGCTTGTAAGTGTGATGACACCTGACACTGATGTGCTGCTGCAGGCATACTAATAATAATCATAATAATATTGACTTTATTGATAATTTTATTTTTTTAAAGAGACATAACGTTTTAATGACATGGTAAATATTTTACATTTTAGAATAAAAAAGCGTTTTCAATTGATCATCGTCATATTCCCCTTTTCATGGTAACTGATAAAATACTATATTACAACGGGTATTGGTACTACTGTAAGTAAGAATAATAAAATATCGTTTTCTCAAACAAAGTACATTAAACGTAATCGTATTTTTTTATATATTGTCAAAATAGTATTAGTATTATTATTATTTGCTCGGTACGGTACAGTACAGTCAGATATCGGTTTAATAGAATAAAACTGGAGAGCAAGAGTCGCGTCGCGACTGTTGATGTCATTGGATAATCAACGCTTCGCGTCCCTGCCTCCTCTTTTCTGATTGGTTATCACTGAACCATCTAAAGCCGTTATACGTTTTTCCCGCTGTCGCTCAAATCTTTGCCCCGCCCACCAGGAAATTGCAGGTTAGTGTGTGTGCAATGCGGAATGAAAATGTCCTTCCAACCAGGAGAAAGTGAGTGTGGGCTACATTTCAGTATTTCACTTTTAATCTTGCAATTAAATCTGCTATTATGTGTCTGATCTTATCTCTGCTTTAAGCATGTATTAATGTTTATATGACTGGGACACAGTCTTAAAAGAGCCTAGTGTATAAGTGTTGAGCTAAGCTAATGTGCTGCTGGTGATGTCTAAGGACATGGAAACATGCAGGGTCAGTTTATTTATTAAGTATAAATACAGTAAGAATGATCAAATCAGCAAATAATAATGTAATAATAATAAAATAAACATAGATCATTATCTTTACATATATGGTGTAGTTGCTGGGTTGTTTGTTGATTTCTCATCATATACCTTTCTATATTTCTGAGAAATCTGATTCATCAAGATCCAATTTTATTCTGCAGCAGTAGAATTATTATGATTAATAGAATTATGTCTTGAACTGTCACACATGGCAGATGAAGGGGTGTGTGATCTGCTTAGACTTGCTGCATAAATGTGTCTGTAATTAATGTATTTCTGATTCTTTATTTTAAGTCTGTCAATGTATATCTATCTGTCCCCCATTTTATAGTAATGAAAATTCATATAGGCCTATTAAAAAAAAAAAAAATTCTATATCTTTAACATAGAAATAGGCTTCATTTTCTTTACTCAAAATATAATTTCTTCCTTCCTTGCGAATATGACCTGGGCATGTTCCAATTTTTGTGAGATTCATCCTATTACATAGAGACAGATTATTATATTAGATATTAATATCTAAGGTCTTTTATTGTAGAGTGAGAATGCCACAATACAAGGTTTCTATCTAACTTACATTTCATTGTGCCAGTATTGACACATGTTTTGTATATGGCGTGTTTCAGTCTGTTAATCTAAGCAAAGCTTCTAATCTAAACCACTATAATGATGTGATGTGTTTTGGTCTCCAAGGCAATGAAAATGCATAACGCTGCAACACTGAGACGTGTAATTCCATGATCTGTTCGTGGATGAGTCCCGCTGATCTCCAGTCAGTGTCACGACCAGCCTAGAGGCCAGAGCTGAGTCCCTGTCGGGAGCGAGTCAAATGTGAGCGCGTCTGCTGGAGCTGAGATGTCATTCAGAAGTGCAGAGGGCATGTCCATCATGCAGGCCTTGGCTATGACCGTGGCTGAGATACCGGTGTTCCTGTATTCCACCTTTGGACAGGTGAACATGCCTCTGTTTATCTGATCATACGCCACACAGCTGCTCAATACTTACACTGCTACTCTATTACACGCTGATGCCACAGTGGTCTTCCCCTTTATATTGTGTGCTAACAAATAAAAGTGACAAAAAATGGGCCTATTTATCACTCACAGACTAAGGGTGTTTGCGAATGCATAGAAATGTAAGAAATGTAAATATCTATTTTTTTTTAAATCTTTTTCAGAATTTGACCAAAATTTTGATTTTGAAGGGTCTAAAATGAGTTGATATATTTTATGCAGAGTTGTCAACTACAAATGAAGGTTTTGCCGCTCTGATGACATAAAATGAAGCGTGTAAAACATGATAATATTGATAGAACTACCATATTTAGTACATTAAAAAACTATGGGAAGACCCCATTTTACATAATCAGTTGCAGATTGATTCATATTGTACAATTGTAGATTTCAAAGAGTTATTTTAGTATTATTTAAAGTATTTTTTTTTATTTTGAAATAGCTTTTACAATATTTTTTTTATAATATTACTTTTAAAAATTGAAATCATATTTTCAGTTTTCTTTTCAGTTTGTTTTACTGATTTTGCTTTTTGTTTTTGTCTTTTATTTAGATTTTGATAATTATTTAGATTATTATTATTTATTTATTTTTTTAGTATTTTTTATTTTTATTTATTTTATTTTAGTACTTCAACTTGAACTTAGTTCAGTTAATTGCCAAGGCAATAATTTTCTAATTTTCATTTAGAAATTTAGTTTAATTTAGGTTTTTAAGTGTTAGATTTTAAATCTAATAGTTATATCTTATTTTATTTCAGGTTTATTTCAATTACCAAAAATAGTTTTAGTTTTAGTTAACAATAATAACACTGATTTTTCCATGTTGTTACACTTAATGAAACAAACTATTACTACCATCCAAGCATTGTTGATCTCTTCTTCTAATAATGTTAATATCATTTTTAATATCATCTTTTTCAGAATTTGACCAAAATTTTGATTTTGAAGGGTCTAAAAAGAGTTGATATATTTTACGCAGAGTTGTGCGTAAATCAACTACAAATGAAAGTTTATGTTTTACTAATTTTGCTTTTTGTTTTTGTCTTTTTATTTATATTTTATATTATTTTTAATATATTTTTAATATATTTTTTCTGTATTTATTCAGCTATTATTAATTTATTTGTTTTCATCTTATTTTATTTCAGATTTATTTCAATTACCAAAAATAGTTTTAGTTTTAGTTATTAATAATAACACTGATTTTTCAGCTCAAATATAAATATTTATTTATGCAAGTATTCTTGGGTTGTCATTCCCTTTCCCCAGGCTTAGAAACTCTTGGATTAAATGGATTAATCATAATCTGCTTTAGAATGCAAATAAAACTCTTGTAGTCTGCAATTTTGAATAGTTTTTTTTATTTATTTTAAATAATGAAAGCAAAGCAAAAACAGCAAATAACGGATTCTTGTTTTCTTCCCTCCTTTTCTCTTTCTCTTTTCTCTAATCTCTAATTCCTCAGTCTATATTCTCTCAGCTGAAGTTGAGCCCTAATCTGAAAAAGGTTCTGTTCGCGACTGCGCTGGGCAGCGTCGCTCTGGCACTGACCGCACATCAGTTAAAGAGACGGGGCAGGAAGAGGAAACAGGTGGTGGGCAAAGAAGCACAGAAACCTGTGGGCATCCCAGATCAGCTGCTCCGAACCAGCCGGCCGGCCTCGCTCAAGAGAGGTGGGGATGTCCACGTATTTTGCTTTTATATGTTATATACTTTTATAGTATTGACATTTTTTTTTAATGTTCATAATTTTATATTATAACATAAAATGTGATATTGCAATTTCACACGAGTAACGAGCGCAATATCAAACGAGTCATGTTTTTGTCCTAAATAGCACGAGTGCAAATGTGTTATTTAGTTTATACAACAGTTCAATAAATAAGAAGTTAATATTGTGATATATTTTAGATGGTTCAATGGCCCATTCATCGAGATAGAGCCATTCCTGAATGTTGATCGAATCGAATGAATGAAGTATCAAAGATTTACTGCCACCTACTGCCAGTTTTAGTTTCTTAGACTATTACTATTGAAATATGAAATACATTTTTTTGTAATTAAGTAATACTCTAATTTATTTTATATTTTGGGGATAGTTTGCCCAAAAATGAAAATTTGGCTGATCTACAATTAATTCCCCTCAATTTGTTTTGATCTTGTATGACTTTTTTTCTTTTGTGTGACATAAAAGAAGATATTTTGACGAATGTTGATAACCATAATGTTTTGATCTGTAAATATATCTAATAGCGATTGAGACCATTGACTGACTAAAAGTTTGTTGAATAATAAATTCTGTTGCTAATTTATGAAGTAATTTTTCTAATGTCTATATTATTTTTTTCTCATTTATCACAATAATAACTTTAAATGATCTTTTTTTGGGGGGTTGATTTCTCAGCCAAATTTGATGTGCAATTAATCGGCACATCGTGTAAATAATTCGATTTAAAAAATTGTAATCGCTTGACAATCCTAAGGTGTGACCCTTGACCACAAAAGCAGTCTTATGTGTTCATTTTTCAAAATTGAGATTTATACATCATCTGAAAAGCTGAATAAATTCCTTTCCATTGATGTATGCTTTGTTAGGATATGATAATATTTGGCCGAGATACTGCTATTTGAAATCGGAAATGTGAGGGTGCAAAAAAAATCTAAATATTGAGAAAATCGCTTTTAAAGGTTTCCATTTCTGTGCTGCATCCACTGACAAAAATGAAATTTTGATATATTTACGGTTGGAAATTTACTAAATATCTTCATGGATCATCATCTTTACTTAATATCTTAATGATTTTTGGCATAAAAGAAAAATCGATAATTTTTACCCATACAGTGTTTTTTTAGCAATTGCCATAAATATACCCCTGCAACTTAAGACTGGTTTTGTGATCCAGGGTCACATATATACATTTTAGTCAGGGTTTCTTGCACTTTTTTTTTTGTGACCATTTTTATCAGGCTACTTTGAGTGAATGTGAGAATATGATTCTATACTAAATCTTTTATTTAAAAAAAACAAACAAACAGTTTTTCATGTTCATCTGTAAAATGCTTTACAGTATACAAAAAATATAAAT